TGATAACATAATATATTACACATAACATATAATATGTTTTTATTTCAGGAAGTTGCTGTTAAGTTGGAGAACATGCGAGCCCGACATCCACAGCTTTTATATGAATCAAAGCTGTACAAAATATTACATGGTGGTATAGGAATACCACACATACGTTGGTAATTATCATATTTAATTTTTTGCTTATGTATTATATTTAGTTGTTATATCCATCATGTAATAATAAAATAATTTGTTAATAAATTATAATGAGATTTATATAAGTTGAAATTATACAATGAGATTATATTAATTGAAAGTTAGTATTAGAATCAGACAGCCAATTGACAAGAATTTTCCTATCTTTAGGTATGGTCAAGAACGTGAATATAATGTTCTTGTTATGGATCTTCTTGGACCATCTCTGGAAGACCTTTTCACTTTCTGTTCAAGAAGGTTTACAATCAAGACAGTCTTAATGTTGGCAGATCAGATGATTGGTAGGATTGAGTATGTTCATTGCAAACATTTCATTCACAGAGATATAAAACCAGATAATTTTTTAATGGGAATTGGGCGACATTGTAATAAGGTACGCATTTTAATATTTCGTCATTTCTTCAATATAATATATCAGAATATAAAACATCATACATCAATACTAAATTACGTTTCAGTTATTCCTCATCGATTTTGGATTGGCTAAAAAGTATAGGGATAGTCGCACAAGACTGCATATAATATATCGAGAAGATAAAAATTTAACAGGTACTGCAAGGTATGCTTCTATCAATGCGCATCTTGGAATTGAGCAAAGTCGTCGCGACGACATGGAATCACTTGGCTATGTTCTTATGTACTTTAATCGAGGATCGTTACCGTGGCAAGGTCTCAAAGCTGCGACAAAGAAGCAGAAATATGAGAAAATTAGTGAGAAAAAAATGTCCACGCCAGTAGAAGTCTTATGCAAGGTACTCTAAAGAACTTTTTCTTATTGTTTTTGTGTCATTACATATACATCCTTGATATAAAAATTATCATTTTTCAGGGATTTCCCGCCGAATTTGCAATGTATTTAAATTATACGCGAGGTCTACGCTTTGAAGAAAGCCCGGACTACATGTATTTACGCCAACTTTTCCGCATACTTTTCCGTACATTGAATCACCAATATGATTACACATTTGATTGGACGATGTTGAAGCAAAAAGCAGCAAGTAGTAATATTAGCGGTGGAGTATCAACAGCTGGACCAGGTCTCTCTCAAGGTGCTCAAGGTGCTCAAGGGCAAGGACAAGGCCAAGGTCAAGCACCTACTCAGGCCACCGCTCAATCAGGTGCAATGAAAATTTTTGGAATTAATTTTTCGCAGCATGTTCACGTGTAGTTTATAGATTTCTTTAACAATTAATGTACAGCTCATGTCGTCACTTCATATTCAGCCGTAACAATCATAATGGGGTTATACTCTAAATTATTGAAACTTCCCAAACTACTATTCTGTATCATCTGTCGTTAACTCGGAATTTTTTGGTTATGTTGTTTATATAAATTATCATTTTTTAACAGCCAATTTCAACCTTAAAAGATGGTTGGAGTCCACAAAACTCAACATATCGATTGGCACAAATCATTCTTCCAAGAAGCAATAACTCTGGAGCTTCTTAAATGCTTTTTCCTTCTTCTCCTATGAGAAAATTGGCCCGGCAAAAAATTTTCGGAGAAAAGATTTTCTTTACTATTTACTAATAATAATGACTGAAACACTAATGGAAATATAAGTATGCTTATTTGCTAATTAACATTCACTTAATGATTAATTCTGTCTCATAATGAATATATGGACCTAAGCAAAAGCTATTGCAAAATTTTCTCTTATATCAAAATTTTTCAAAGATATACGGAAACTCACATATTTCTCATCTTTTTACAGAGACTCACGTTACTTCTCTTTTAACGTTCGTATTTTCATGACATTTTCATAATTAAATTTTTCAGATTTTGTGTTTGTTTTTTGAAAATATTGTTGAATGATTTGAAGCACAATGTATCTAAATTTAATATTAAATGTTTTTTTTTTTTTTTTTTTTTTTAATATTTTGTATGCATTAAACTTACAGAATTTGTGTATTTATATCTTTCCGTCTATTATTAGTTTAATTAAGTAAACTTATATTTCAATATCTATTCTTCTACTGAATTTTAAATCAGTAGTGGTAATGTTTCTTGCGTATAATTATACGCAAGAAATTATATGAAAAGTAAAAAATAAATTACACATTTGTACATTTTACTATCATATAATACAAACAACGAGCGGAGTAACGTCAATTCAAAGGGAAAATTACATTTGCATTATTCACAAACATATTATCTATAGCAAAATTAAAGAAAAATATGATAATTATTTTCTATAATTTCAAAATCGGTTTTATTTGTTCCAGGAGCGCGCTAAGACTATAACTCTTCATTGTAGCAACAATCTTGATTGCGATCACTAAAGTGTTTCAAAGTGAGGTACCGAATTTCTTACAGAAGTTATCATTCAAAGAGTCATATCAGTCAACACTCTAATTTCATGCAAAGAGAGAACGTGATGTAAACTTCAAATGCCAGCATTCGCGTATATGCAACAAGAGAACATGGCTGTATCACATATTTACTGAATCATATGAGATGTTGTAACATTGGCAACTTAGAGTTTCGGCTGATTGAACTTTTTGGATTTTGAAATCCGAGTGAGAGACCAGCCAGCCAAAAAATGGCTTGTTCTTATTTTGTTATTACGTATTTAATTTACCATTGGTAATCATTGAAAATAAAGGTTTTGTTGCCCTGAGGAAGATTATAAGGGAGTAAACATATATTGGGCTTGAATGGGTTATTTAATTCGCGAAAATGTGCAACTTTCATGGAGAGAAAGAGAGGATGTTCAGACCATTCTCGGATGCTCGCGTTAATTTGCGAAGCGTGTGGTTTCAAATTTTATATCTATTCTACAAACAAGAAAAGAGAGATTCACAGAAAAATATGTGAGTGTTTTTGTGAGAGTATGAGTATTACTGTGCAAACTGATATTCTGCTTCCTAAATTTTGTTTTGTCTTCAATATATAGTGTGATCATACTAGAGTATGTGGAATGTTGAGAAAGTGTTAATATTTTTCTTATCAAGAATAATATGTCAATGGTATCAAAAGTATTGCACACTTTTGATACGTTTGACCGGAATAATTTTTTTTTATATAAATGAACGATTACGCCTCTTTCCGATATAATATTGACAAGTTAAAGTAATATTAAAGATACCTTAATGTTAAGGCAACACTCTTAATTGTTAAGTATGTACCGTGCTGTATTGAGTAACGAGTACATCGAGAAATGAACAAACGACTAACGATTCTATTGTAGAAATATCCCTCGATTTACTCTCTTTCTGTCTGTGAATATGAGTCGCAGAAATAAAAAAAAGTCGCTGAAGAAGAAGAGGAAGAAAAGAAGAAATTTTTAAGTGGGAAGTAGTTACAAGCTTACTTTCATTTAGATAATGTTTTAAAAAGTTATCTTGTTCGGAAAGTATTCCTGTAACAGATTCTAGCTGGATAATTCTTCCGTATATAGTTTTAATAGCCGAGACTGTGCAGTAGCTATTTCACGTGCTGTTGCTTCAAGATTAAGTTTAATATTTTGTATACACTTTAAAGGACTTCATACTTCATCATGACCAACGTTCTTCGTACATGCATATACATACATACCGAGAGAAGTTGCCTCGAAACAGTCAGAAATACTTATTGATATCGGCAATTGCTAAAGAACTATTGTTTCTATTCATATCGTTTAAGATTTTAGTTGTATTATTCGTTCTATAGTTGCTAAACTCTTCACGTCCATGTTCTGCGAGCATTAGTTTCAAAAAAAAAAAAATGTTATAATCATACACCCTTAACAAATAATACTAGCGTGCGTTACACGTCCTCGTCGTGGAAGGTACTACCAGTCGTCCGGTCAGCTTTAAGTACAATTGCAATGATAAATTCAACTGAAATCTTAAAGCTTATATCTGAAGACGCGGATTATTGCTGCCTGGCGGACACTTTTGAAAATATGGAAAAAGATATAACCAATAACCATCCTCGATTGAATGCGTGGTTAATTATTATTATTATTATGAAGGGAATAAATGAGTGTAAAAGTGCGTATTACCATGTGAGAATGAATGAGCGAGTAAGTTAATGAAATAACTAACGATATATGCACTTAAGTACTATCCGCTATGTGTATGTGGGTATATATATACACGTGCATTGGATCGCAAAATGTATATACATATGCACATATACATGTCTGTATGTATAATAAAATTGTGACAGTAATTAAGGCATACCTTATTTCATAAATATTTGAGGAAATACATCAACGGTTTACTGCTCCTTTTATCTCTACAAATAAAAAAAATTGAAATATTGTACTATAAATTTCTGTTTCATTAAATGTTAATCTTGCTGATAATTTACAAGATTCGGCTGTTGTGTATAACATATAGCAACAGTAAAAGTATGTGATGTTTGGTCAAGGTAGGTGGCGTACAACTCTACAAGTCCACACCACTTTCTATTATTGTAATACCATCACTGTTTAGGGTGTACATACATACAAGACATTTATGTAAATATTTTTAGACCATATATTTGACAATTCTTAAAGA